TGTGTTAATCCTGATTAAATGGACAGAGTGGGCTCAGCTCACTTACTCTTTTGTGTTTCTCTTAATGCAATCTATTATTTTAGCCTGCATGCAAATAGAAAATGCTTGAAATTTATGTCATGTTAATCAGAGAAAAGCAAGGTATGAGCACAAAGCGGATTTATAGCAGGCAGCACAATATCGGTCACGTTCGCCATTTATTACAGTAAAGAGAACACCAAGACTATGCTTTAAAAAACACTTTAATTGGCTACAGTGTTAGATGCAGGGATCAGATTTTTGAATGTAAATTGTCAAGCGCGATTTGTTCCTCCGAACCCTTCTTTTGGGTTCACTATAGTTGCAGTTTATATTATAGATCTTCTCTCAAGAAAAAAAAAAAAGTTTTCAAAGAGTTTCAAGCACAACCTGACATTAACATTATGTTCCCCAGGTATATATCAGTTCAGCATTCCAGAGCTCACCAAGGTAGGATCTTCAGTTGGCAGGATCAGGGCTGTGGATGCCGACGTCGGCAGAAATGCGGAGATGGACTACACAGTTGTTGGCGGAGACGGTCTGGATGTGTTCGACATCAGCACTGACAGAAACTCCCAAGAAGGCATACTTAGTCTTAAGAAGGTACAGAGGATTTTTCATTTCACTCATGCAAGTTTGAAAAGCTTTTTGCTAGTTTTTTTCTTTTTGAATTAAACGTGTTCAACTGGATGGTTTGTGAATAAAATGCAGGTTTTTGTACTGAAAATGTGACCCTGAGTGGGTTGTTTATTCCTGCGGATATGTTTACGTTGCAGCCTCTGGATTATGAAAAGAAGAAATCGTACATGCTTCAGATCCAGGTCCAAAACACACATCCAGACCCACGCTTTCTGAGCTTGGACGCTAAGGACATGGCGACCGTCAGGGTCAGTGTTGAGGATGTGGATGAGCCCCCTCAATTTGAGAAAATCAGCTATATTTTGGAGGTGAAAGAGGACGCGGCTGTGGGCACCATGATAGGATCGGTCAGCGCTGTGGATCCTGACATACGCCACAGTCCGGTCAAGTAAGGGCTTTGCGTTAATATCATCCCACATTGTTTCCATCATCTTTATTTATAAGATCGGTGTAAATCTCTTTAAATGCACATTTCCCAACACACAATAGCTTGACAGTAGCTTGCAAGCCTCTTAAACATCTGCCCGTTTCTTCCGGTGACCTTTTGATAATCGCAAAACCCTGATTAATCTGTCTGAAGCTATGGCGATATGAGCTTAGATGGACTGCTTCCTCAAAGCGTGCTTATTAAATTCACATTTAATTCAAGAGGTCCTTCAATCGCGGCATCTTTATGAGATAATTGTAATAAACTACAATTATGAGAATAAATGAGGATATTATCACTGTCAAATGCGCCCTAATGATAAGGCTGATTCAGA